TTTTTTAGTTAAAAGAGGTTTTCCCTATTCAAACTGCCACCATTTCTATAATAATTGCAATTTGTGAAAAATGGTACGCTACATTGTAGATAATACATTTTTATTGATAAATCAGAAAGAATTTTTTATTTCAGACGTTCCAATCCTTGTCAAGAAGTTTCGCAATAACTCCGCCATTTTGTGAAATTTTTACTTTTTTTTTAATTAGAGAGGAGAGCTAAAAGTTACGTTTATATCCTCTGAAAAAATTGAAACTTTTCATTTTGTAATTACCTACGAAAAAAATTCTCAAATTTGACCCTATTTTTAGACGCCTGTTGTAGTTGTGCAGATTTGAAGAGATAAAGTTATTATGTGTTTTATGAGTTCAAAGGTGGACACAGAACAGTTGAAATAGAAAGGCAAATAAATCAGGAGAAAGAACTATCTCTGCGTTTTGAAGTGCTCTGATATAATCTTCGAGTGAAAAATTGAGAGGAGAATGTTGGTTTTGCTCTGCTGGATGACGAACGCAAAGTTGGTGAAATTGATCGTGAATGGACGCTGCGTTGAATGCAGCAAGTGAAACGGTGGTGAGATTTCTTAGTTTTATTACCGAGAATTTCATAAAATATGAAACGAGTAATGGAATGCACGATAATAGCGTGTTTGCAATTCTGAGTAGTGTGAGTTGCTACAATGTGTTAAGATTTGTTCACTAACGAGACATTTTTTCTAGAATATTGAAAATATTTGTGACTCCTTCAAATTAAAGAAATTATAAACAAGATTTAGTTCGTAACTTCAGAAATATAATTTTATGGACAAAAAGGGGAACATCCCATTTGAAAATAATTTGTCATATGAATAAGTGGAACAGCTACAAAGTGTATTTTTTTCTAATAAAATACCAATATCGAAAAAATTAAAATTTCTAAGAATAAAAATTACGAACCTGTCTTATTAAATATCATTCCTGTTTTCTTATTTCAAAAAACTATACAAATTTCAGAAAATACCCAACAATGTTGCAGTTAACCTCTATAACGCCATGTGACTTGATAATTACACGTCTATTTACCTCCATTTTGTAAATCTCATTTTATTTCTCTATTGCTATACTATTGCATTATATCATTACCACTCAATTTTATTGTAATTATTAATTCTTGAATTAAAAGAATAAAAGTACTGTCCGTACGAGATTTACCTGGGTAACCTTCCGGGATAACTATTTCCGGTCCCACTTTGACATCGTGCCGATAACGATGTATCAATAGAGTTGCAGTGACTCGAAGCGATCTCTGTTGTTGTTTGTAGAGCAACACCGGCCTGCCACCGGTACCTTCGAGCCTGACCACTCTCGGTAACGAGAATCGATCCAAGAATTCTCGAAGTGGCATGTAACCGCCGCTGGAACCGGAACTACCCTCGGCCGTCGCCTCCCGCGAGCTTGGCAAGGATTTTGGCAACGAAGGTACCTCCTCGCTGGACATCGTCGAAAATTCACCATTCGACGACATTGTGTTCTACACTTTTCAATATTTCACTAGTTTCGTTCGATTCGATCAGGTTCCGTTCATTTCGCGCGAATCGGCATCGTGCATCGTTAAACGTGAACAAAGTTCAACAATTTTCACGGGTAATTCACGTTAGTGAGACGAAAGACTTTAAGACGTTTCTTTAGAAGTTTCCAATGCGGCACGTCGTTCAATCTCAGCCGTGAAAGAACGAATTTCACGTTTACCTTTGACAGCATTTTTATCGCCGCGACATCTGGTCATTACCAGCAAAAATCGACGGAAACTAGCTGCCAATTAGTAACAGGTTCAGGCACTTTCTTCGGTTATATCACACGGATCTAGCTGTCACTGTCACTTTCCACTTCAGTGTTTACAAAGAAGCGAGTAACTATCATTGAGGAGGGGGATCGTCAACGAACGAGATAGGATTTCAGAATCGATCAAGCTTGAAAACCAACCGTTGCAGTCATCGAACACGATCATTCAAAATTCATTCACTGTACACTAACTATTACCGCAGGCAACAGTACGCAGTGAGATAAACGATGGTTCAACACGATGGCTCTATGAAAAACTCAGAGGATAACTCGTTTAATCCTTCGCGTAACGAATCCTTCGTGTCGGCACCGTGGAAATTCTCTTCTTGAATGCTTTCGTGTCTCTCGCGAGAAGTCCACCATCAGCATTGCACCGTTCACATTGCCGGATCATCTCTTCCCTTCGAATCACGACGATGCTCCGTATGAAAAAATGTTGCGTCATTCTCCTAAACAGCTGACGGGATTCGCTCCACCGATCATAGACCGGTTTCGTAATTTCGACGAAATCCCGGTAACCGCGGGAGCGGCACGAATTACCATGCGTCGACCCCTACCGACGAAAATCTCGTCCCATTTACGAACCATGGAACGAACGGTCGATAAATCAAACCGATCGATCTACAGACGTGCCAACTGCAACAGAGCACAATCGTATTTCCTGTAGTTCGACGCCTGTGGCGTTTACGATTTAACCTAACTTCTCACGTGGGCCCAGCAGAACTATCTCAATATTATTCCTCTGCAATCGATTATTCTCTCGCCTTCAAACTCCTCCTCGATCACTGAGTCTGAACTGCATCCTGGTAATCCAGAATTTATCCGTCGAACGAGAAACTTCTTAAATATTCTCCCAAGAATAATTAACCAGACGAAAATTCAAATACAATATTCCGCCAAGCACGTGCAGCAACTTCTTTCCATTTCGATTGTTAACAAAAATTCACTTCGTTCTTTCAAAAAAAAAAAAAAAAAAAATTAGAAGAAAAAACTATTCAAAGTAAATTTTGCGTACGTTTCAATGGATAATAGCAGAAAGACGTTAAGTCGGTTGGTAAAGATGTGATTTTTCTCGTTTCGATAATTGTTACGTTGTTACGATGCACCCGTTTACGGTAGAGACATATCCGCGTATCCCGAAGAAGTACCGATCGAACCGGCAGACGCGAAGTCACTGACGCCCGGCGTGACTGAGGCTAGCGTAAGAGGCCCACTGACACTAACACACTTGCAACGGGTTGTATCGTGCCCGTCTCTACTACACGTAGCTCTGTCAGTGGCCGTACTACCAGCGGTAGTGTGCGGCTGGGCAAACTTCGCCTCGAGTCCTGCGCCAGGCTTAACAGAATACGTGCCTATGCCTCTCAGCCCGACCTACGAGGAGATGTGGGCTTATTCAATAGGGGTCCTATTGTGTTCGAGGAACTGTTCAGCTTCAACAGAAGCGAACCGCCCTTAATAGTTTCTCTAGAAACGTAATCGGGCGTGGTAAGTGAAGTTGCTGCGTGTAGTACGCGTCTCGGGTTACAAGTATCAATAGTTTGACAGCGTACATGCTAGTCTATACTATATATGCATGTATGTATATATATGTATTCGCTGGCGGTGAATTAGCGTTCCGGAATCGAGGCGGATTTCATTGCGTGTTCCAGTTGAATTGCGTCGTGAGACTTGATGTGCTCCGCTTGGCGCTTTAATTTCCACTTGAAATCGTTGCTTTTATTAACGTCGCACTGGGTCTATCGAGGTGATTACACGAGAACTGAATTGCGCGTAATTTGTTTTTCTTTTTTGCTTTTCTTTTTGTTCTTTTTCTGTGTCTCTGGTGCATGTAATGTATATGTGCTAGTTATGATACCGTTAGTGAAATGACGCGTTGCCGTGACGTGTATTTAGAGTTTTTCGACATGTCAGACGAATGATGTGTAATCTGATTTAACGTTTGATCTGCTTATAATATGTGTTACGTGAGATTTTACTGAAATTGGTTTTTAATATGATTTTTTATTTTTTGGTTTTGTTATGTGTGGTTGTTCAATTGTTCAGAATCTAGCAACTATCCAATTCCCGATTCTTGAAAGTTCATAAACGAAGATAATTATTTATTTAAATTTCGTTTCAATTTTAAAATGGTGAATATTTCTCAGTTCCCAAAATTCCATAAACGAAGATGATTATCTGTTTCGTTCGAATTTTGCAGAAGTGAATATTTCCCAATTCTCAGACAATTATTTACTTAAATTTCGTTCCAGTTTTGAAAAACTGAATTTTTCTAAATTCTCAAAATTCCACGAACAAATTTTAGCAAAACTTCGAACTTACACACTCGTGGCAGAAATTGCAGATTACACAGAGAATAGCGCGAATGTTATCTCTTGTCTGATTATCCCAACCAACTCATTGTTACATTTTTCTCATCGAGCATTTAATTTGAATCCCGCGCTCGTTCGAGTAATTCCGCGGCCCACATCCTTAACGATATAACTGTGACGCCTTAAAAAGCAATCTCGCTAACGAATACACGGGGAGAGCCGTGGCGGCTCGGTCCTTATAAAAGATCATCCAAAGTAAAACTTTACGTTCGCCTGTTAAACCCGTACCCGTAATACCTTTCCTTATACAGTTATCTCCGACACTAAAGGGAAATGGTACATGCCTCCTTTCGCGAAATGTATATTTAATTATATCATCTTATTCGCCTCATCCCTCGAGTCCAACGATCCGCGCTTCAGATAATAAAAATCACGTAGAGACGTGGGCAATGGTTCCTGGGAAGTTTCGAAAGTGGAACGACCTTGAGTTTCATTGTCGAACGAGAAACTGTTCGCGCGGGAGAGAACACGCGTGCTCATTGCATCATAACCAGTGATACGAGTTCGCACGATCATTTCGCGATGCCTCCTCCTATTTTCTTCTTCTTTTTTTCCCATTCCTTTATTTCACGGGAATTACACTCCTTTGTTCGACAATTGCACACGTTTCGACGACAAATAATCGTTGCCACATCCAAGGAACGAGATTTTCCTTGCTGGGAGTGTTTTATAGGTTATGTACGCTAAATTCAATTTTTTTGCAAATTAAATTCTTCCTTTTCGAAATTACATTCAACGTTGGGAAAATTACATTATTTTGCAGTCTTTCGATTTTTCTTTCAAATCTTTGCAATTTGCATTCTTTTGCAAATCAACATTTTCTACAAAATTGTTTTCTTAAGCACTTGTAATAAAAATCAAATCAAGTGTAAATTTATTGCTGAGAGATTCAAAATTTAATTTTAATATGTAACACAAAGATGTATACGAAATGCTTATTAATAGTAATTACTGGACTGCGGATTTTTATGCAAATTCATGTTTATAAGAATGTCATTGAAAAAACAGACAGGCAATTGTTTTACTCGCTAAATATTATAACGAGTACTATATTATTGTTTCACAAATATAACTATTCTACTTCAATATTTAACATATTTTCTGATTTCATTAAAATTTGCTCTTTCCGTAAAATATCAAGCTTTAACAGAGCTCCCATTAATTATCTACCAAATAATAAACAATAACGTCGCTCTTCAGTCGCCACTCGACTGCAAAAGATTGAAAGAAAGTCAGCAACAATGCAATTCTGAAATATTTAATATCTCTCAACGGAGCAACTTATTTTCAAACAACTCCTGCAAAGCTAAAAAAAGAGAGGAACAAATACAGCAGCATAATGGGCGAGATGGAACAAAGCCTTAATATTACACAGCAATACTTTAACCATTTATTTTATTTGCAAATTCTCCACTGCCATTCAACCACGTGTTCTTTCTGTCTCTTCTCTTTTTTTTTCTTCTCGTGGCCTGCAGGCAACGTGCAACATTGAAAAGCATTTGAGACAATACGAATGACCATTCTTACTGGCAATGCCACGGCCTCTTCGTTCAGAACCCCATGTTATGTGGTCCCTTCTCAGATACAACGACTACGATACGGTCTCAATAGTCCAGATTTCCTGGCTACGCCCAAAGAAGCTTGTCCAACAAGCCATAAAGAAGTGTAACGGCCAAATAAATGCTACTATAATGCATTTAGAGGATACCAGACGCCAGAGACTTTGTACTCGTAAATGTTTATCAAGATGGGTTGGTCCGGGTTTTGTTTTACCTATTAACAGTGCAGTTTTAGCGTTCGGAATATCGCGACTGCCTGCCGATACCCTTTTTATTTCATCGACGACCATTCGTCTGGACGAACATTTTCTCCACCGTGATACTGTGTAGGATATTATGGGGAATTGTGATTCTTCGAGGAAGAAAAATGATATTTAATTTTAGCGAAATGTTGCATCGTTAATGATCCAATGTAAATTTTTCCTTTCATGGAAGTGTCTAATGTTAGGTTTAATATTTTGTTTATTGTGGAATTTTCTTGGGATATTTTCGAAATCTTTCGAGAATTAAATACTGACACTGATATCAATATTTAATATTTAATAATAATACTAATA